TTTTTATCTTCAAGCTTGTTTATGTTGTTTGTTTTGTTTATTGACTTTTGTATCTTGAATCACATTTACATTTAAGGGATAGTTTAAATTAGTCATGGTGGATGTATTAATTAAGGATTTTATTTCTTTGAAGAAACACCATGACCACAGCAACTCTTATAAGGAAAACATTGCTTACACTTTCAGATAATTGGTCCATTATCATGGTGAGGAGCATAGAAGCTTTCAGACTGATATTGTACTGGCAGAATGCCAGAGAGTCCTACATCTTGAAGGCAAGAGGAAGTCTATTGACTGACTAAGGGAGGCTTGAGCATAAGAAACCTCCAAGTCTACACCCACAAAGATATACTTCCTCCAACAAGGTCACATCTCCTAATCTTGCCATTTTGTTTAGAGGTCACTTTCGTTGACAACACTACATTCCACGCTCTGGCCCACAAACCATTATAACTATATCATAATGCAAAACTGCATTCAGTCCAACTTAAAAGTCCCCATAGTTCATAACAGTCTCAAACTTGTTTCAAAGTCTCTTCTGAAATGCATAACAATCTCTTAATTGTAATCCCCTGTAAAACTAAATTTATTTTAAAAAATAATTACATACATCCAAATTTTAATGGCACAAGATACACACTACCATTCCAAAATATAGGTAAGGAAGCATAGTGAGGAAACTATGAACTAAAGCAATACTGCAAACCAGTTGAGGAAACTTCAAACTCTGAATCTTCATGTCTGATGTTGAAATGCTCCTCTTATTTTCCACTCTGTTCAGCTTTGTCAACTGCAATACATTTCTTTCTCCTGTTAGGAACTCACCTTGGCAGGTAACTGTCATCTCTAACATCTTGTGTTCTCCAAGCAATACAAGCTCCTTCTTTACAGTTTTACACAATAGCTTTACTACCTATGAAGCCTCCATTCGGGAACTTTCTTGAAATAAGGCCAGTCTCTGTGGCTTTATTCACAAGTTTCTCTTACATAACTCTAAACCCAGAACCATGTTGCTGAAGTTGTCAAGTTCTGTTCCTTACTGGAATAGAGCTCTCCCATTCTTCATGTCTACTTTTCTGTCCTTCACTGCCTAAGCTTGACTTTCCTAAAATTTTCTCTGCAAACCAGGCTGGCCTCAAAATCAGAAATCTGCCAGTCTCTGCTTTCCTAGTGCTGTCATTAAAGGTGTGCCCCACCTTACCAAGCTCTAAACTTTTCTTTAGTTCATTTTCACCGGTTGGAAAGTTAGCTCAGTAGGATCTAGATGTGAGGCCACCACTCCCTTTATTCCATTTCTTAATCCTTTCATCTCCTGTACACAGAATTTAGAATCTGTGTACACTTACTGAACACAGAATCTATTTCACTTACTGGTACCTTTTTATCCTTAAAATTTTCATTTTGTAATTCACCCTCCCTAGATTTCCCCATTTCTTATAAATACTCATTTGATAGGGGAGTTCAGCCAATCACATTCTGTTTTGGGGGTGTGCCTCCCTCAGGCAAAAGCCTGCATATAAACCTAGCAAGCGCGTTCCGCTAGCTCTCTTTTCGCCTGGCTCCTGCGTCTAGACGGATCGTTTGGATTCTGGTATAAACTGTTGTAAGTCTTACTTCTGTTTATTAAAGCTGTATATTTTGTATCAAGATAGTCTGGGGACTTTTCTTTACCAATCGCCCTGCAGCTTCACTCATTCAAGTTACCATTAATATCCACATGACAGAGTCTATACTAGATTGTTTTTAGATTTCTTCTGTCAGTGTAATTACTCTAAAATGTTTCACTTTAGCCTCAGACAGTCTCTTCTGACAAGAGCAAAATATAGCCACTTTTTTCAATAAAAAAAACACAAGAATGATCTGACAATATACTAAAATTCTTTTCTTCTAAAAGCTTTGCACTGAGCCACTGACAATTCAAAGGATTCTTAGTACTTCAGTCTTTCATGCTCCTACTAGTATGCCCAAATAACCAATGGTTAAAATATTCCACTCCCTTCATAAACCAAAGTACTGAAGTCCAAATTCCTCCAAAAACCATAGGCAATACCCCAGTCCCTAGTAGTAACTTCTGTTTTAGTTAAAGGTTTTATTGGTGAGAAGAGACACTGTGACCATGAGAACACTTCATTTGAAAATATTTATTTGAGAGGGTTCACTTGCAGTTTCAGAAGTTCAATTCATTACCATCATGGCAAAAAGCTTGGTGGTATACTGGCAGAGGCTGTGATCAAAAAATATCCAAGAGTATATAGCTTTTAGGAACCAGGAATTGGACCAACTCAGTGAGGGAAGCTTGATCAAAATAGGCCCCAAATCCTGCCCCCAAAAGGACCCACTTTCTCCAAAAAGGTCTCAACTCCTAATAGTGTCACTGCTTTGTAGGGGGTATTTTCTTTTGAACAATGACAGTGGATAAATCTTATGAATGATGTCCATATTCTATTTGCAAGTATTTTACTAAATTTTTGAGTATGTTCATCATTGATATTGACCTGTAGTTTTCTTTATTTGTGTGTCTTTTCCTGATTTTTCTGCTAAAGAGATACCTTGTTAGTAGGTGGAATTTATGATTGCCTTTTCTATTTCTATTTTATTTCATATGTTATAAAGTATTGTCTGGAGATACTTGATGATCTATTATAATTCTACTGTGAATCCATCTGACATTGACTTCTTTATTGTTGGATGACTTTTATTACTATTTATATGTCTTCACTTGTTTAGAGGGTCTGTATAGGTTGACTTCTTCATGGTTTAATGTTAGAGTCAATCCCAATGACTTTTTCTAAATTACAGGGCAACCTTTTGAGAGACGCCATAACCTTTAACCATCCCACATCAATCATTAATCAAGAAACTATTCACAGACATGCCCACAGTCAATCATTGAGAAAATATTTGATTGAGTCTCAGTTTTTCCAACTGATGCTAATTTATCTCCAGTTCATAGAAACAGTGCATGCCCCTCCATTTAAAGTATATACATATACCTAAAATAGGAGTCAGTTTCTGTACCTAGTTCAATCATCTTCAGAGAGGCTTCCTCTGGTAGCTGATAGGAGCAGATGTATAAACTCGTAGACAAAAAGTAGAAAATAATAGAGCCCAAATTGGAAATATGCCCACTGCGTCCTTTCCCTGGAAGCTAAATAAACTCTGTGGAAGAAGGGTAGGAGACAGAAGGGTTGAAGACAACAGAAGAACACAGGCTACAGAATCAAGTAAGCAGGTCATATAAGAGCTCACAGAGGAGACTCAAGTGGCAATCAAGGAGGCTTCATGGATCTGTACTGGGTCCTCTGCATATATGTTATGGTTTGTTAACTTGGTGATTTTGTGGGACTCCTTAAAGTGGGTGTGGGTATATTTTTTGACTTCTTTGCCAGTCTTTTCTTCCTATTATGCTGTCTCTCTCAATCCTGTTATGAAGGTTTATGCCTAGTCTTATTGTGTCACGTTCAGCTGTGTTCCATTGATATTCCTTGGTAACTTTTCTGAAAGTAAATTGAAGAATGAAGCTTAGAGAAATGTGAGGTGAAGGAAACTGGGAGAAATGGAGGTAGGGAAAGTTATAGATAGGATGTATTGTAGAAAAAAATAAATAAAATAAATAAATTTATGCACAATAAAAATAGAAATCACACAGAAGGTGGTTCTGTATACCTTTAATACCAGAACTAGGGAGGCAAAGGCAGGCAGATCTCTGTGAGTTTGAAGCCAGCAGGTCTACAGGATCTAGTTCCAGGACAGGCTCCAAAGCTACAGAGAAACGCTGTCCTAAAATATATTGTACACACACACACACACACACACACACACACACACACGTATGTATATACATATATATGTATATACATACATATACATGTGCATATATTCTTTCAAATCTAATTCTTTTTAAAGTTTTGAATATGTATACTTTATTTTTGTTTAGTAATTTTACAAATCAATTCCACTTCTCTTTCTCTCTCCTTATTTCACTACCCCTACCTTCCTATCACACTACTATCCCATCTACTCCTTGGAGATGTTATGGCCTTTCTCCCATAAGGAGTCAACAAACTCTCTTTCATCATTGCATTGAGGCCTGACCAAGTCCTCCCCCGCTGAGTCTAGTTATCACTCTATAGGAAATGAACTCCAAAAAGCCAGTTCTTTCATGTATTAAGTATAGATTCTGGACCTACTTCCAGTGTCCTGATAAACTACCTAATCCACCCACTGTAACCTGCATTCAGGGATTCTAGTTCAGTTCTATGCAGATTGCATAGCTGTCAGTCTGGAGTCAGTGAGCTGTCACTAGCTTGGGTCAGTTGTTTCTGTGGGTTTCCCCATCATGGTCTTGACCCCTTTGCTAATATTATCACTCCTCCCTCTCTTTGATGGTACTCCAATAAGAGCAGTAAGATTCATTACAGAGATATTATTCATAACTTTGAATGAAAAGTCAATATTTTGTATGATCAGAAGAAATAGTAAGAAAAGAATGAAAACATTGTCTTGGGAATTGTTTAAGAAACTGAGAAAGCTAAATTCTGCCCTTTAGCACTTACAGGCATTAAGGATTTGAACACCTGGGATTACAGTGGCATTTCCATAATGAGTACTATTAAAAGCCTTGTGTTGGGCGACAGGGACACAAAGACTGTAGATGTATGTCTGTGATTTCTTTAGGCTTATTATACCAGTTATGAATGAATACCTAAGCTGTTTCCTAAAAATCATTCTTTTAAATGAAGAATCAGTTGACCCTGTGATTTTTTATGACCTTCACAAGTGTACACCTATAATCAACATTCAGGTGAGATGTTTATCATATTTCTTCTTTAATCTAATGAGACAACTGAAGTTCGTTTGTGTATGTATGGGATAGTAGCTGAACTTTTTCATGTGGAAAGACTATAGTAAAATTTCTTACCAATATCTGTTATCTATCTGACACATGTTTATTCGCATATCTACTTATGCAAATCAGCCTCTAATCTAGTGGTCTCAAGTTCTATGCAAAAGCAGCACCGATTTCCTTTTAAACAAGCCCATGTTTCTATTAGCAAACATGATGTTTGCTACTTAATATTGCAAATTTTGCTTTAATTATTGTTCCTTCATTAGGGAGGATTTCATTCAAGGATTAGTTGCTAGGGATTTTGTAAGCAAGTATCAGAGTATAGATGGATTAATGGAAGAAATTTAATTATTAACAGATTTGCAGTCTGGAATTCAAAGAACAAGCTTATGAAGTTGATGGTACCTATACAACTTCCTTTTCTTCTAGATTACTCAAAAACATGGGATCTGTCAACCGAACAGCTGTCTCAGAATTCATTCTTCTGGGACTTAGTGAAGACCCAGCTCTGCAGCCTTTCATCTTCAGCCTCTTCCTGTCCATATATCTAATTACCACCTTAGGAAATCTGCTCATCATCCTGGCTGTTAAATCCGACTCTCAACTACATACTCCCATGTATTTCTTTCTTTCCAACTTGTCTTTTAATGACATCTGTTTAATCACAACCACAATTCCAAATATGTTGGTCAATATTCAATCTCAGGATAAGACCATCACATACACAGGATGCCTCTCTCAGGTCTGTCTCATCTTGAATTTTGCTGGCATAGAAAATTGTCTTCTTGCAGTGATGGCCTATGACCGATATGTTGCTATCTGTCACCCTCTGAAGTACACAATTATCATGAATTCACATTTCTGTGTAATGTCGCTTCTCTGTTCTCTGTTCTTTAGTATTACACATGCTTTATTCCACACTCTGATGATGTTGATGCTGTCTTTCTGCACAGAAACAGAAGTTCCCCATTTCTTCTGTGAGCTGGCTCAGATCATCAAACTTGCCTGTTCTGATAATTTCATCAATTACCTGCTTGTATACACAGTGTCTGTTGTGTTTTTTGGTATTCCTGTTTTGGGGATCCTTTTGTCTTATATTCACATTGTATCCTCTGTTTTAAAAATGTCGTCCTTGGGAGGAAAGTATAAAGCCTTTTCAACATGTGGATCTCATTTGTCAGTTGTGTCCCTGTTCTATGGTACAGGCTTTGGAGTACACATTAGCTCTGCATTTACTGACTCTCCAAGGAAGACTGTAGTGGCTTCAGTTATGTACACTGTGGTCACTCAGATGCTAAATCCCTTTATCTATAGCTTGAGGAACAAAGACATGAAAAAAGCCTTCAGGAAAGTAATTAGTAGGATAACATCTCTTTTATAATATGTCATCATCATATCAAAGATTTTAGAGTAAGAGAAACTTACCAAACATCTACATCAAGATACTTTATATATAAAGTATATACCAAGTTACACACATAATAAAAACGTTCATTTTACCTTATTTTGAAACCAGGCATCCCTATATGTCTAACTCAGTGATTTAATATATGCTTTTCTAAAGAAAATGTATCTCTTGGGATCTTAATGTACTCATTCATAGTGGTTTTTAAATATAAAGCAAAGAAAATCAGCCCACAAATCACAATCCCAGAGAACTTAGACGACAATGAGTACACTAAGAGAGACATACATAGATCTAATCTACATGGGAAGTAGAAAAAGACAAGATCTCCTGAGTAAATTGGGGTTATGAGGACCTTGAGAGAGGGTTGAAAGGAAGGGGAGAGGCAGGGAGAAGAGCAGAAAAAAATGTAGAACTAAATAAAAATCAATAAAAAATGATATGTTTAGACTGCTGTTTAAATTTTATCAAAACCATTTTGTGCAATGCCTTAGTAATAGATATAGGATAGACATTATCTTCCATCAAAATTTTAGTAACATTTGAGAATGATTTCATCTGATTTCACAGTTAAATCCTTATTCAGTGAACTATGGATTTATGTATATATCATCAAAAGAATTGAATTTTCATGCACCAAAAAGCAAAGTTGTTAATTTTAAAATAAAGTAATTTTTATTAATTTTTAAAATTAAAATATTATTAAATTAGTTTATATGCATTTATATATGAGTAGATCAGTAGATAGGTGATTAATAGATAGATAGATAGATAGATAGATAGATAGATAGATAGATAACTAGTTCAGTCTCTATAATATTCCTTGTATTTCATAATTTCATCACTGAATCCATGGCATTGGAAAATGGAGTAGTCTCTTCTTTGGGAAAAGTAATGATTTCTCTTCCCCTCAGTATACTTTAGCTGTCTTTAGTCATTTTTTAGGGTTGAAAACCTCTGAGATTCCCCCAGTTCCATGTTAGCATGTCTGTTGATATCATCCTTCTTCAGGTCATGATTAAGCAAGCAATCTTAATGTCATTTTTAAGCAAGTCATCCTGTTTATCATCACATCTCTCATATTTCTAGGGCATGCAGTGTCATGGCAATTTCTGTGTTCCACTGTTTCTAAGAATTTTTCTGACATCTCTTCTACAGTGATTCCCTAGCCTTAGGTGTAGGATTTAATCTGTGTATGAATGAAGTAGGGGCTGCCATTCTCTGCATTATGATGAATTTTGTTTTGTATGCCTACATCAGTTGCAAAAGCAGTTTCTATGATGAAGGGCTGAGGGTTATTTAAACTATTATGTGAACATAGGGATAAATATTGATGACTCAGTAAATATTTTTCTTAAGTAAAGTGGTAGGTTTAGGCTACCTCAGTAGCTTTGGGTTGTAGGCCAGGTTTTCAGTAAGAAGAAATTACTTCCCTCTTATTGAGTAGAAAAATAAGTAACATTTTTTTCTCTGAAGTAACCATATATGTCATATTGTGATTTGTTAATGCTAATATTATTCTAATTAAAAAGAAAAGGCTCAAGACATTTTTGAGGCATATTAATTTGTCTCCTGAAAATCTTTAATTTGTAAAGATAATAAATCTCAAATTAATAAGATCAAACAAATAGGAAAGTTCCCTTCTATTTTACATCAAGAGGAAAAGATTATTTTCAAGAAATCGCTGAGTTTTATTCAATCCCTTATTAAATACACTCAATTCAATTCAACAATTAGCTATTTTCCAGACCATGAAGTAATTGTAGTAAAAAGAGTCACAATGGAACTTGGTGCCGTAGATGGACCATTGAGCAGGATTTTCTGTGCCCTTGATAGTTAATGTCACATTTCATAATACATAAAGACAGATCTACAGTGCACTGAAAGCTGGCCCTCAATTTTGGTTTGAATTATTATTTGAATTAAAGAACAGATAAACTCTATTTGTTTGAAATAAAACATCTTCCACAGATAAATCTCCTCAGAATGTTTGTGAAAGTCCTAAATCATAACACAGGTAGAGAGGTTAGAAAAATGATTTTAAGAAGAGGCGTTGCATCTATTAACATAGTTTGTTTTTATATTGATGCATTCAACATTAGTTAATTAATGTGTATCCTGATTCCTGTACTATTGTACATTATTAGGTAATATTATTCAGATCCTAGCTCATTAAAACTATTCCCAAAGAAAATTAAATTCCATTTGGTATGATGATATGTATTTCTTTAAAAGATTGGTATTTTTATATGCATTCTAAACTTGAATTAAGAATCCTGTCTTAAAAGGAACTTCAATTTAGGCATGCATGAGCACTTTGGATCAATGTGCTTCTTTTTACATTAGTACAACTTTAATTAATTTTTAGTCACCTTGTTATTCTGATCTTTAGACTTCAAAATGAGGCACGCTTTTCATTTAAATAATTGTCTTGTATAAGTAATTCTGCATGAATTTTTATTTCATTTGGTGAGATTAAAGAAAAAAAGAACAATTCTGATAGTGATAATTTTTGGTCATTGATTTTCTATTATTTTCTGTTAATTCATTAAATATTCTTCTCCATGTCTTGTGAATGGACCAGAATTTACTTTTATTTTGGAATTAGTATTGTGAAGTTTATCATAATTCAGTATCTCCAAAAGATTTTATTAGTAGATGAACCAGTATAAAAAACACATAGATATTCATGGCTTTCCAAACCATCATTCAAATATTTTTTATCTATGTTGATATATTGTGAGTACAAAATCATATCTTCTATTTCATTTTCTAATCTTTTATTTTTTATTTTATTTTTTTTGAGAAAGTAATTTTATTAAATTATAAAAGTTTCCATTTCCTCCCCTCCTCCCAACACCCTCCCACTCACCCCACTCCCTCTCCATCCCTAAGAGCAGTCAGGGTTTCCTGCCCTGTGGGAAGTTCAAGTTCCTCCCCCCTCCCTCCAGGTCCAGGAAGGTGAGTATCCAAACAGACTGGATCCCCAAAATCCAGTATATGCAGAGGAAACAAGTCCCAGTGTCATAGTCAATGGCTTTTCAGAAAGACTCCAGGCCAGCCACATTCAGTGAATCTGGCCACATTCAGAGAATCTGGTTGGATCACGTCCTCGTTCAGTCCCAGTCCAACTGGCCTTGGTGAACTCTCATTAGATCAGTCCCCTTGTATCAGTGGGTGATAGCATCCCTCACAGTCCTGATTTACTTTTTCATGTTCTTCCTCCTTCTGCTCCTCATTTGGACCTTGGGGGACTCAGTCCAGTGCTCCAATGTGGGTCTCCATCTCTATTGCCATCCATCGTCGGATGAAGGTTCCCTCTGGTCTTGCCTTCTTTGCTCACGTTCTCTTTCCTTCTGCTTCTCGTTTGGACCTAGGGAGTTAAGTCCAGTGTTCCAATGTGGGTCTTTGTCTCTATCTCCATCCATCGCCAGATGAAAAATCTATGGTGATAAGCAAAATATTCATCAGTATGGTTATGGGCCAAGGCCGGTTCAGGCACCCTCTCCTCTGTCCAGAGAACACTCTGGGGATCTCTCCTTGGACCTGGGATCCCATATATAATCAAGTCTCCTGTAAACCCCAAAATGACTCCCTTAGTTGAAATATATTCTTCCCTGATCCCATATTCATCCTTCTTCCCTCCCCCCATCCCAGTCCACTGAGCTTTCCCCATTCCCCCCCTACTCCCTTCTCTCTAACCCTCTCCCCTTCCAACAACCCTCCCTCTATTTCATTTTCTGTGAGATAAGATTTAGTTCACATAATTAATGCCACTCATAATCATCTATTGAAATTCATGATTTTAAAATATTGAGCTGATTATGTGGTTTTCAAATTAAACTAATAATTTATTATAGTATTTTATCTAATTGTAATAGTGTACCTCTAATGAAAGCAAAAAAAGCCAAGCAGTGGTGGCACATACCTTTAATCCCAGCACTCAAGAGGCAGAGGCAGAAGGATCTCTGCAAGTTTGAGGCCAGCCTGGTCTACAAGATCTAGTTCCAGGATTGACTCCAAAGCTACAGAAAAGGCCTGTACCTTTTTTTTTGTTTCAAAAATCCAAAAAATAAAAAAGCATAAAATGGGAAAAGACAGAAGGGCCTAGAAATATGTTGTGGGTAAGATAAAGCCATTCCTAACATGAACTCATGGCTACCACACATGCTTATATAAAATGCCAGGGCCAGAGATATAACCATGAAAGCATTCTTGTGATCAGCGTCTGAATTCTTCAGTTTTGGTTTCTAGTTGTCGAAGTGGCTAATTAATAACGTGTATCTCTATCCTAAATGCCTTCGTGCTTGCTAAGACTGAAACGATAAGAAGCATCATTACTGTGAGTTATACTCACTAAAGATGCTTTTTCCCAAAGTAGTTTAAAAGTAAAAGGAGGATACTGAAGAAGAAAAGTGAGGCTTTCTGGATATCTACATTTTCCTCAGGAAAATCAAAATATCTATGTATTGTATTACATGCTTTTAGTGATAAAATATATTCAAGAAGCATAAAAGATATATATATATATATATATATATATATATATATATATATACTGATAATCTTTATAGACTCCATTTGGCAAAAGGTTACACTTATAATCCTCAAAATCTGACTTTATTTGGGTAGATTTTCTAGAGAAATAAGTTTAAAATGTGTCCTTGTATGTACTTTAGTTGAGTTGGATTCAGGTCATTACAATCAGAAGTAAAATAGGATACACAAATGATGTGGGATTACCCCCTGTATGCTGTCAATACTATAGGTTTTCTTTTAAAAATACTTCTGGTCACAAAATAATTACCAATACACAATGAAGACAAATTGAGATGGAAAAGACCTCTAATTGGGTCATAGTGTACATAGGCTTGGGCAAGAGAATAAAGAATATAGAGAGGTATAAAAAGGTAAAGTCTTTAAAGAGACAGAGTAAGATGATCATAGATTATAGGAGTAAAGATAATAAAATAAAC